GCCAAAAGCTGGGCACCAAAATTATATTCCTCACCACTTTTAAAAGTGAACCACCGTTATGAAATATGTTTATGACGAATTTTGGCCGAGCTTAACGAAGAGGACGTTCATTTTATATAACTTGTGCAAGGAACATGTAAGAATTATAATTCCTTACGAAAAGAGGGGGTCGCTGTGTTTCTCTTCGTTGTATAAAGTTTAATACGGGCAAGGGAGGTATTTCGAGAGTCGGCAAGGGCAAGATTGGTGGCTGCTGCCATCTGTAGACGTGTCGCTGCTATATTTAGCGCGTGTGGGAGTGATCGGAACGGAAGTTTGTACAGTAGTGATAAGCTGGGCGCCATAAAAATGCATTAGAATTTTTGTTTAAAAAGTGGGCTTTATAAAGAACAGTGTTGCCAACGTCGTATAGAGTGTACTTTTGTTTCGGGTTAGTGTTCTTCTTGGATGGTCTTCTTTCCACAAGTTCACTGCGTCCCACGAGCATGGAACACCCGTCACGTAGGCTAGCGGCCCCCTGGTCGAGACTTAAACTCAGCCCCCCCCCCCAATCAGTGCCAATATTTTGGAGCTCAACTTGTGAGTCCCCGATTTACTTTGTTTTTATGTATTCAGCGTGATGTGGGCTGAAGATTGGGGAGATGTGTGTTATGAAAACAAGCCTAACTTTGTCATCGTTGGTAGACTGAAGCCCATTGGAGCCAGGAGTTTGGCGGGAACCCATTGTTCCCAAACTTGGGCGCAAGTGTGGGACTTGAAGAGGAAAGAAGTATTGATCGGTTGACTTTCATCGGAAATTGTCGCTCTCTCCGTGAGAGAGGGATGCTGGGTGGAGCACAAACAAGAGCATTTAATTCTGCACTAATGCCTTTGCAAATATGAATTTGGGACCGAGTCCCGCACTGTAAGAAACAGTTCGATTGGTCTCTGGCAATTTCTGTGTTTCGTAAGAACACAGAAATCTTCAGACATTCACATGCATACATCCATACCTAATACGCATAACAACTAGAATTCTCTTCTAGGCACTAATATATAGCAAAGCCGCCGGCAACCTTATTATTCAAGGTCATATTAATCCCTCAGCGCTAAAGTGGTATAAGTCAAATTCTTTTAGTGCCGTATAAAATGGAGTTAGTTGTTAATACTAAATGAAAAAGAGGATAAATTGGCGTGTTTGCTAGGAAATTTTATTACCTGTTGTGCATATGTCTTTGATTGATTATGGTGAATACATTGAAAACGCTCCTAAACACTCCTGTAATAAATTTCTAACTTATGCCGTACTTCAACTCTGGTCAGCTCATATGTAAGTGAAGCGAAATTCGGTCGGTGACAGTCTTAAGTGATGGTTTCCGCCGTGTTACGCATCTTCCTGGTTATGTTAAAATATTATTCCTAGTCATTTATAACTTTTCCGTTTTGGCTATGCATGTAGTTGGGATTACGAAAACGGGCCCTTTTCCCATATCCATCTGTGCATTTGTAGTGTACACGTGTCTTGTCCTCTCAGGTAAATTCTTTTGAGTGTGGATTCATAAGTTATAATTCGATCCAAAGATCACTCACTGTACTTGGCAAACGATATTCGTGACTTATAATTCAAGGCCTCGGTTGTGAAACAGGACGCCTAAAATATAAACTAGATCAGAACTGATTTAGGTATTGTCTTTGGAATTAATTGCGTGAAATATTTTATGTAGTAAAATGTCTAAAATAAAATCACTCTTTTTGAATGTTTTTTTCCCTCCTGAAATTAAGTTAGACTAAGTCAAGGGCTGACAGTAAGTGTGAATCGATTTGTCCGTTCTGCACTGCAAGAGAAAGTTATTTTTTCCAAGTTGCTGGCAGATTACTTTCGAACTGAACATCTCTCCTCAGCCTGGCTGGCGCAGTGTGTAAGAAAGATTTCGTTATCAACGTAGTTTGTGCGCGTAGTGACTTCTTTGTACTTACTAAGTCATTTTATAGCTATATAAACGTGACAAAATGTCCGAAGTTGTTCACCGGTGTTCTCTATAGCTGCATCCCCATGCAGCTTTAGAGTACGGCTTGTGTGCAAACCATGGGTTAATATTACGAACGTCTGTTTTGTCTTAACTTATCGGAAGCTTTGCTACTTACATTTTCAAATAACGTAGCCTGACTACCGCGATTGATGAGATTAGAAATATGTAATTTGTGCAAGACTTTATCCGTCCTAAAAGTGTTTTTTTTTAAAACCACAGCGGCCGAGCTTTTGGTATTATTGCCTCGTATTTGGGAGGTCTCGGGTTCAAATTTCGCTTTACAGACGATCTTGATGTTTTTCGAGCCTTGCCTCATTGCTTTCAGGTTGATTCGGGAACGCCGCTTTAAATTAGGTCAAGTCCGCTTCCTTCCAATGTTTCAGAGGTCCTTGCTGCCTCGTCGCCCTGATGATGGAGGCAGCAAGAACCTCTGAAACGTCGGTAAACTTCTACCAGACTATACGGCGCAACAACCCTGATGACAGAAATCTTAATCGTTTCTTTATTTTGCTGTACATGTGCACATGGATACTAAAATCACAATTGAGATAAATGTTTGACTTCGTGTTTTTCTACGTCTGCTGTTTCATTCGGACTGTAAGCCTGTGAACCTTAACAAGCGTGGTTACTTTTCAACATGTTTCTGTTTAGAATTATAAGAAAACTTTATTGTCTTTGAGGCTGGGCATTTCGAATTACCGACGACTTCCTTTGAAAATGGTTAGATATAATTTCTGTTCACGAATTTGATTTGTGGCGTAGTAGGACTTGCTGAAGAATGTTTTTCGTTTAGGGATGATGCCACCCTAAATACGCTGCTTGAAGGCTTTTGTTAGTG